CTAAACTAAACTAAACTAAACTAAACTAAACTAAACTAAACTAAACTTTGTAGGGTGGGACAGAATTGGAAACAGTCTGATCTATTTGTCATCTCAAGCTTTGTGGATTACTGTTCCAATCCAGAAATGTATGCACACAGGCCATATGTTCACAACCATATGTCAGGATCTCTCCACATTCATTGTAGAATGGATTATTAACTTGAAAAACTCAAAAAGTAGAATAACTTTAGAAAGAGGCAGGGAGGTCTGAAAAGTTTCAGAATTTTAATAAGAAAACAATAGCTAGGCTTTTAATGGAATTTAATAGCATTCCATTATCCTCTGTTGATTAATGTTTTGTGCAGTAACATGATCACTGTTTTTGTATATGGCTCTTGACCCATCATTAGCCTTTTCTTGCTTCCTATTGCACCTGAGTGAAGGTTCTGTACAAATAAAAAACATTGATAGAAGAAATAAGTAGTGATTTGTGTCCCACAATTTGAATCTTTCAAGCTATTTCCTGAATGCTTTTTCCTTATTTTTTATCATAAAATAATAACCATCATTGCTATTAATAAAATCATCCTCAGTCAATGGAAAAAGGCAGTTTTACTTGGAACAGCTTATATCTATAATCTCGTTGGCCTTCATTTTTGAATATTGTAAGAACTTTTATTTCCTTTTGGTCTTTTTATTTATATGATGTATCTCTATTAGGCTTACCTTCTAATATCTGTAACTTTAGCTGGCTTTGTGGTTTGGCAAAAACAACAGAGCTGACAGAACACGTTGCTCTTCCTTTGAGTAACTTTTCCCTTAGGCTTTTCAAATTGTGTCTTTGGCAATAGCTGGTACCAATGGAGAGCAGTAAAGAAACAGAAGTAGAGTTAACACTGTATATGAAACAGACTGATCAAGCTTTTGGGGCCGCTTTCTAATTAAATCAGACTAAGAAGGGCAAAAATAAATATTTCATTTGGAAATATTGTTAAGATTTACAAGACAAAACAAAAGTGATCACAATACCGTTGCACACAAGTTGGACTTTAGATTGTGGATTCTGTGAGCTGCTTTGATATTCAAAATATCCAACAATAGATATTCTTTACAATGCCATGTTTAAAATGACACATAGCAATGATGAATGACTTTCATGATTTAGTAAGTTTGCCATCACATAAGTATCTTTAGAAGGAACAATATACCAATCTGAAAGAACAAATGACAATATCAATATGTAAATCTAGGGGAAACCGGATGATTTGCAAGGATAGGAATAAAGAAAAGTAGTGAATGGTGATGGTATATAAACTATGTTTGGCTATATTTTCTTTTCTTCTTAGATCTAACTCCTTTGCTCATTATTTCTTTTCTATGCTTTACATAAACTTATTTATCCCAAAACAAAATAGCATGGTGAGTAGGTAGTAAATTATATTATGACAGTATGTCCCTATGATGCTAAAGGGTATGCAATTAATTGCAGCTCTTCTAATCATATGATTTTTATGTCTTCTTGTTCTTTACCCCTAAGCATTCATCTTTGTCCTCCTCAGAGTTTTGCTACTATCAGCCTTATAAGAAACTGTGTAGGCCCAACATGACAATTATTAGAATAGTTATAGTAACAGAATCTTACAAGTCCAAATGTGGTTCCCTCTTTTTTCCTTTTCTCTAATATGATGGCGGGGGGAGTTCTCTGGGAATTTTTGTAAAACTCTTTCTTGATGTAGGCTCAATCCACTTTATCTGACAGTTGCCTTGGTAATGGATCTTTCCTGTCTCCATCAAGGCCTGCCTCTTTACTCTCTACTCCTACTTCTTCAGCACAAATCTCTGACTATTGCTGATGTCATCCCTTCAAGATGAACCATATCAGGAAACAGACTACACAGAAAAATAGAACTAAACTTTATTTAGATAATTTATTCTTCAAATCTGTCCACATCTCCTGTCTTTCCCTCTGATATCTGATGGAGTTAGATCAGGCGCTAGTCTTTTGGAATGCTGTTGCACCTCTCTAGATTTAATGCATATTTTTTCTGCACTTGGCATTTTCCTACTGGCCTCTGGATTGCTTCCCCGTGTTTTTTTTTTCCATAGCACTCCATAGCAGTGGACGTTGGCTACCTTTCAAAGGGGGAACAATGTATCATATATTGCAGATAGGGCAACACAGGAATTTACTAATGTAATGAGGAAGCATAGTGTCCAGGCTTCTTGGTTATGATGTGCACTTCATATGGATGAAATCTGGACTTCAATAGAATGATACCAGTCAGTGACAATAGACAATTGCAAAATTGTGGTTTGGGGTGGCATGGCCAGGGTGGGTTTTTTCATATTTTCATATTTCAACTGTGTTTTGCAACAAATTTTGGGTAGCTCCTTCCATAACTATCTTTCCAATATTTTGTCTTCTTTCCTTGAACAGAAGATACAACAGCTGTCTGAAGGTTCTATGTTTGGTCATGGACTGAAACATCTTTTCCATAGTCGTAGACGATCCCGGGAACGGGAGCATCAGAATTCCCAGGAGTCATCCCAGCAACACCATGGCATGTCTGATCATGACTCCCCTGATGAAAAAGAACGCTCTCCTGAGATGCACCGTGTCTCTTATGCTGTGTCTCTCCACGACCTCCCAGCTCGACCCACTGCCTTCAACAGGGTGCTACAGCAGATTCGCTCCCGTCCTTCCATCAAGAGAGGAACCAGTTTGCACAGTGGCAGTCGCCGAGCCAAGAGTAGCTCTGTAGAACCACAAAAAAGCAGTCCACACCTTGTGCGTAGGGCCCCCCAGGATAGCAGCCTGACAGCAATCCTGCATCAACATCAAGGCCGCCCAAGATCTTCATCTACTACAGACACTACTACCCTTATGGCTGAAAGTGGGAATGTTTACTTTCTGACAGAAGAGTCTGAATGCGTCAGTGACAAGGTAAGATGAAATGGTCACAGCTTTGGTAAAGCTTAGAAAAAATGGGAGACACCATTTTTACATTGCTCAGTTCTATATCATTGCTGGATTTGTCATTGGTAGGAAAACTGGGCCCTAGAATCCAATTTCACAGGACAGGTAACTAATGTTAGAGTATATGTAAGTGTATGGCATAGATATTTGGTACTGGAGATTTGGCACTTCCTTTTTTTCAAGAAAAAGAGAAATATTCAGGATTTAGCAAAAATCATATATCTGTTCAGTGTTTAAGAAAAACATTGTTTCAGGTGAATTATGCAGGCCATGCTGCAGTAGGTAGAGATTTTCCCCCTCCCATCCTCATTGCACAAATCAAAATTTAGGGTAGGCTTAAACATTTTTCCATCTAAAAGTGCTTTAATGATTACACTATTTATGCATTCAGGAAATATTGTTTTCACTCTAAATTGTATTCAGTTGCCCTTACAGTAAACTTGTGTTATATTCATCATATATTTCCCAATTGGGAAGGGTTACTTTGATGCCTATACCCGGAGAAAATGAGTGGAGCAAAAGCAGTTGAAGTTACAACCCAGGAAAATACAACTGAATCTTGGTGCACCTTAAGGACCGAATTATTCTATAAATTTTTGTCTATTTTATCAGAAGTTTTGAGTATTGTACTGAGAAAATAGTATTATACTTAACACACAGTTGGTGATGGAGGAAATTTAGCTTTTTTATTTTCTGACCTTTCAAAGGCATTATTTTCAATCAATTATCAATTATGAGTGGCCATGTTACATACTGCTTTTTAATGGCATAATTCTTACAGCAGTATCTTTAACACCGAATGCTGAATAAATTCAATACAATACTGATTAAATTCAAGAATGAAAATCTAAAGAATTTCAACTTACTTAATAGAGAGCATCTAGAAATTGAATACATAGTTACAGTTGCTTGCATTAGGAAAGGACTTTGAATTTTACTCAGTGACTCATCTTTAAATTTCGTTATTTTGACCATCTTGTCTGATGAAGAGTTCTAAGAAACTGAAAACAACTGTTGCCCTAGGTAAGGTGCTACTTGTGTACTTCCAGAAGAACTTGTGCATTTCAGGTTGAACTGTTGAGTTCTTAGTGCTCTCAGCAAACTACTATTTTTCTTTCTTTGGATTGCTTTTCTGTATTGCATGAATATTAACTTGGGTGAACCGAGACACCATTGGATTTATTTCTATTTTTATAAGCTTGTAGATGAGCGAACTTCTGAGAATGATTTCCCTCACGTTCTCTTTCCACATAACTCGGCAAAAAAGAGGCAATCATTATCTTTCACCCTACTCAGCAAATGAAGTTCCCTAGTAAGATATCCTAACTTGCCGTAGCTGTTCTTCTTGCAATGAGTGCAGTTAAAATATGATTGTTGAGAACTAAAAGGCATTAAGAGTTGTTAACCTAATCCTACGTAGCTTTTTCTCTGGTAATATCACACTACTAACCAGAGCATACAAAACATTTGCTAGACCAATACTCGAATACAGTTCATCAGTCTGGAATCCACACTACGTATCTGATATTAGCACAATTGAGAAAGTCCAGAAATATTTCACAAGAAGAGTTCTCCACTCCTCTACTCGCTGTAGAATACCTTATGCCACCAGACTTGAAATTCTAGAACTAGAAAACCTTGAATTACGCCGTCTTCGGTCTGACTTAAGCATGGTATACAAAATCATACATTGCAATGTCCTACCTGTCAATGAATACTTCAGCTTCAACCATAACAACACAAGAGCACACAATAGATACAAACTCAAAGTAAACCGCACCAAACTTGATTGCAGGAAATACGACTTCAGCAATAGAGTGGTCAATGTCTGGAATACTCTACCCGACTCTGTAGTTTCTTCCCCAAACCCCAAAAACTTTAACCTTAGACTGTCTACTATTGACCTCACCCCTTTCCTAAGAGGTCTGTAGGGGGCGTGCATAAGCGCACCAACGTGCCTACCGTCCCTGTCCTATTGTTTCTCTTATTCTTTATTTTTCTTATATGTAACCATTTCATGTATTCACAACTATGTATACATTTATACTTATTGTCTTGTAAACAATTGGCAAATCAAATAAATAAATAAATAAATAAAATAAATATTTGGGAATATTTCATAAAGCAAAAGTCAGCAGTCACTGCAAGCTGTTATTAAGGCAGAAACTATAGTTCTACTAAACTTCTGTCAAAGAAAGCCAGTAATTCAAGAAGAAACATTTTGGTAAAATAAGCATAGCCTTGTCATAGAACTGCTTGGGAGTTCAGAGAGGATTTGGAAAAAATTAAGAGTGTGGATTGCAATAAAGTTGTTTTGTTTGGCTCACAGTGAATTAAAAAAATGTAAGTCAATATCGCAGGGAAATTTTATTCAGTTTGCTCATTGCAACTACTTCTGCCTGCCAAGGGCAGCTAGGGCAAACTATTTTGCTATGTTTTTCAGTATAGGGAGTATTACAAGGGCAAGTGCTTGCAATGAAGATTATGTCAGGCACAAACAAACAGATCCACATGCAAAGAGTTCAATTAGCTGTTTGATAATTTGCACCTAAAATAGACTAGATAAGCTTCAGTGACACTTAAGGGGTATCATACTTTACCCTCTTATGCCCACATAGGGATTCCAGACTAATTCCCTATTTGATTCCCTTCACTCAGCTCAGCCAGTTTCTCTTTGACAGGAAAATGTCTATTTTCATTCATCCATCCAGTTTGCCTTCTACTGATGATTTTACAAAATCCAGTCATATTCTTTCATTTTTTAAAAAGGTTTCTTAGCTTGCTGCTGATGAAAGACAGGCAATAACTAATGTGGCTAAGGACAAAATGTGGACAAACCACTATCTCCAGTGCGCCTTTTTCAGTTCAGTACTATAGTCCCCGCCCTTTTGGTTGAAACTTAAGTGTTCATACTTACAAAATTCTGGATCTGAAATAGTAGAGACGTTATTCTCTCTTAAACTTACCAGAGAATATGTCCAAAATGGAACTAGGAAGTCTTGATGCACAATTTTGTGTATTGATTCTCTGTGGAAAGGGAGATGATGGTGATGGAACTGGAAATCTTCAGAACTCCTCCTGGAGTGAATCTGATATTGGAAAGACAAGAAGGACGTCATCTCACTTATTTCCTAAGGAGGAGGGGTATTGCTAAACAAGCCTTGCAACTTTAATTGATTAAAGAGGGATAACCAAGTGCCTGGCAGAGAAGGAAAGGCACAATAAAATTCTCTCTCTCTCTCTCTCTCTCTCTCTCTCTCTCTCACTCACTCACTCACTCACTCACTCACTCTCACGAAGCAGTTAAGCATAGCATTCTTGTGCCCCAACAGTATCCCAGCAGTTCCTTGGCATAATTTGTCACCCATAAACTCTATGCTGATATTATAAGAGGAAAAGATCCAGTATGGCCTCTTTGGCATCTCCCTCTTGCTTAATCCAGCCTAGTATTTGTTAAGTGAGGTGTGTAACAGAAATCAAGGAATCCATGAAGACATTTTTTTCAGTAAACCATTCAAACCCATCTTCCTTTCCCCATGTTCTTTGTAGGGCTATATTTCCATTCATCCACAGAGTAGCTAGTACTGGACTTCGCACGTTACTTTTTCTATCCTTTGCTTTAGTATGCAGAGAATAGTTCATTTTGGAGGGTTCCCATGGCAGTCCACTTCCAGCTCTGTTGTTCTGTCCAGTGAAGGGAAAAAACACATAATTATAGGAACATGACCAGTTTCCTTATACTAGTTTAATAATAGATTTTTTTTTAAAAGGGGTATTAGTCATAATGTATAATTTTTGTACAAATTATATCCAGAACAGTGATGGCTTACTGAGGTTTGAAAATTAATCATAAACTAGCTTCTCAGTTTGTTTGCCAATTTTGGTGCATTGGACAAGACATTTGGTCTCACTGCTCTGCATGGTGGATGCCACAACAGCTTTTTTCACTTGAAAGGCAAGGAAGAGTCTCAGGTGACAGGCTCCTATTTCCTATTGATACCATTCAACAGGACAGCAACCTCCAGGCAACCTGATTTATACATTCAAAAGAAAAGGAATCAGAGAAGAGAGACAGATGGCTCACGACTGGCTGCGATTGTTCTTTAAGTAACTGAAATGAATGTCTTTCTGTATGTCACGAAAGAATGAAATGTGATCGTTTGATCCTTGTGTGGATTGATGCCATAATAGAAACAATAGCATTTGCATTCCCTTCCCTTCTCTTATTTCACTCATCATTTGGTATACAGGTAGTCTTTGACTTAACAGCCATTTGTTTAATGACCAAAGCTACAAAGGCACTTAAAAAAGTGACTTATAGCCAGTTCTCACGATCGTCGCAGCCTTCCCAATAGCCGTGCAATCAAACTTCGGGTGCTTGGCAACTGGCATGTATTTACAGTTGCAGCATGCAAGGCAGGGGTGGGATGCTACCGGTTCTGCCCGGCTCTACAGAACCGGTAGCTCTGAAGAGCAGCAGACTCTGTGTTTGCTGCTGTTTGGCCCACCTGCCTGCCCAGGCTCTTACCTGTCCTTTATTTCCTGCTTTTTCAACCTCAGCTGCTTTGCGCGGCACAGCTGAGGTTGAAAAAGCAGGAAAAAAGAGGCTTTTCAAATGCTGTGCACTGTGCTTTTCAGCTCTCCGGGCGTCACAGCTTAAGGTTTTTTTACATGCGCATGCACACGCAAAATGTAGTCGCTGAACCGATAGTAACACCGGTTGAATCCCACCCCTGATGTAAGGGTCCTGGGATTGTCATTTGCAACCTTCCTAGGGAGCTTCTGACAAGCAGAGTTAATTGAGGAAGCCAGATTTATTTAGAAGACTGCATGATTCCTTTAGCAACTGCAGTGATTTACTTAACCGTGGCAAAAAGGATGTAAAACGGGTTATGACTCATTTAACAACTGCCTTGTTAGCAATGAAAATTTTGTGGTCGTAAGCCTAGGACTATAGCAATAGACTGGTGTTTTTCACTTTCAGCACATTTAAGATGCATGAATTTCAACTCCCAGAATTCCCTAGCATGATGACTGGGGATGGCATGCTAGTAGAGGAATTCTGAGAATTGTAGTCAACGCATCTTAAAGTTCCTGAGGTTGTAGAAACACTGCAATACAAACATCTAATGCCATTTCTAATGACAGATTTCTGTTATCAACCAAGTTGGCAGGAAATTTCAATTCATAGTCACGTGACATTGGGCTTAATCCATAGTGATTCACTTAACAGTTGCAGCCAATACTGATGAATTGATATCATAAGTCCACGACTGTCACATAATTTTTCACTTTAAAATCATGTCACTTGATGATGAAATTACTGGTCTGAATTGTGATTGGTAATAGAATAGAATACTTTTTTGGCCAAGTGTGATTGAAAACACAAGGAATTTGTCTTGGTGTAAATACTTTCAGTATACATAAAAGAAAAGATACATTCGTCAGGAGTCGAGAATCAAAAGGTACGACACTTAGTGATAATCATAGGGTACAATAAGCAATCAATCATACTAGGAAACAGTCAATATAAATCGTAAGTATACAAGCGACAAAGTTACAGTCATACAGTCACAAGTGGGAGGGGATGGGTGATAAGGAGTAATGACAAAATTAACAGTAATAGTGCAGACTTTGTAATAATTGAACAGGGTTGAGGGAATTATTTGTTTAGCAGAGTGATGGCTTTCGGGAAAAACTGTTCTTATGTCTAGTGTTCTGGTGTACAATGTTCTATAGCGTTGTTTTGAGGGAAGGAGTTGAAACAGTAACTGTATAGACTTTTTTTTGTATATATTTCATTTGTAATTTTCCTTTAACAGCCATACATAGTTTGTGGACAGTATATTGACTGGGTCAATATACTTTTTACACAATGCTAACAATAATAATACAATTAAATATATATAACCTTTGTCTTCCAACTTCTAACCTTAATATGGACATTGTAATTATAATAAATTCTTTTATATATCAATACATATGATACTATTTTCCCAATTTGTACTCATTTTTCCTCATTTGTTGGGGTTCTTTTATATTAACATCTTTGTCTTTAAACAATACCATTTTCTCTTTATGATTCTTTATCACTCTCCATAAATACTGTATATTTAAATATCAATAACATTTCTTCATACAATGTATATGTTGTCCCTTACTGAATCACTAATATTTTAATATTTTAATTATTGCTGAATGTTCCACCGTACTTTCAATATCTCAATTTTCTAAAAACACCAATAAAACCAATTATTGATAGGATTAATCAGTCCTGGGATTATATCTCTAAGTCCCCTGAATTTATAGTCCTTGAAAGCTATAAGTTTCAATATATTTTTACACACTGTTAATAATAATAATAATACATTTAAACATATCTAATCATAGTCTTCCACCTCCTAACATAATATATTTGTGGTCATAATAAATTCTATTATATGTCAATATGTATACTACTATTTTCCCAATTTATATTCTTTACTTTTTTCTATTAGTTTTTAATACAGTCACCGTATTGCAAAATATTTTATTTCTATCCATCAACTCTTAGTCTTTTTAGAGTTTTATCATTTATTGACTTTTTGATAATTCTTTTATATTTCTCTCTTAGAATCTTATATTTCTTCCTAACATTTTTACACAGACTGAATGTTCCCTCTCCCTTACTCCTTGTCTCCTTCTGGTGCATCATTTGAATACCCATCCATAACCCTTTCATTATTTTGGGGAGATCTTCTTCCCCTCCCCCCAGTTCTATTTAAAGCTCTTAAAGAATTATCTGTTTGATTCTTAGTATTTATTGTTACTGTCTCTTCAGTATTTTTGTCTTATTTTGATTTGTCTCCTCCATCACTCCTAATTTCTCATCTGTCTTCTGAATATTATATTCACCTTTTCCACCATTTGTTGAAGATCTTCTACACTCACATCTTTATCTTTGAAGAATCCCATCATTTCCTTATTATTCTTTGTCACATTTTCATAAATACTTTTAGGCACCACTAACATTTCTTCATACATCTTTATTGTCTCCTGTTGAGTCATTTTGTAATAGTTTAATATATTAAAAATTACTCAATATACCACTAAGATTCCAATATCCCAATATCTCTAAAACACCAAAGAAGCCAGTTATTAATAAAATTTAGTCAACTGAAAGTTTAGTATTGTGTTACAATTAGAGACCTAGGATGTAGAACTTAATTTTCCCAATTCTCAAGAATAGGATAGTATAGTATAGTATAGGATAGGATAGAATAGAATAGAATAGAATAGAATAGAATAGAATAGAATAGAATA